ATATATATTAAATTATAAATTATGTTATTAGAATTATTTCGTTAGAGTTATTAGTTTTAATATATTAATAAATTTTATACAATTAACTTACTTCTTCAACACTTAATCCATAATTGTTTGGCACTACTTTTCGATATTTAAATCTACAAGGCAAATCTCCAATCATATCCTCATAATCCAACGAGTAATATTGATCAAAATAATCTGCATATGAAGGAAATTGTTTTGGATCAAATTTCGGTTTCTCCTTTGCTATAAGTTCAGCAAATTTAGAGCGTTTCCTTCGTTTTCTCTTTTTTGTATTTTCTATGACTTCGGACTGCAAATCTCGGGATTCATCATAATCTGCATCCATCTATAATCAGACGACTAATAAAATTCCCATATAAAATATATTAATAAAACACATTATATAAGTTATAATAAGTACATTAAAATCTGGATCTTCACAATGAGGTTCTTCGTATTGTTCAGCTTTCACGTCAATTTTATCTGCAGTTGGATCATAAAAGTCCCACTTCTCAATATCCAATTCTTCATCAATGTCTGGGAATTCTGGTTTTTGCATCTCAGCTTCACCACCAGCATAATATTCGTCATTAAAAATCTCTTTCATCTTTTTGTCATGTTCATTTGGATCAAAATCGGAATCAAAATCAACGTTATCGAAGCACATATCATCATTTCCTGCAAACATAATGTTGAATAATTTAACATAAATTTTATCTTGTAGATATAAAAATTAAAGTTATATTACCTGTGACTTCTTTTAATTTTTCTATTTTGTCTTCTATTTCTTTTCTCTTCAATGCCTTCAATTGCTTTAGTTCTTCTCTCTTTTGTTGTTTCTCTTGCTCTTTTCTTTGCTTAACTTCTGCTCTCTTTTGAGCTCTGCGCGTATCTTTTTTCCGCATTGAGTTTTCCATCGTTCGTGGATATCTCAATAAAACATAAAATTCACGAATAAAAAAAATTTTAACATATTTAATAATTAACATTTATATTTATATTAAATAAGAACTCATACCTTTTGATATATTCTTGATCAGGTTCTTCATATCTAAAATTATATTTATGTTCAAATGCTTCTTGTTTTTCAATAGTTTTTTCATCTTCTGACAAGTTCTCATCGCTGTCATGAATAACTTGGTTATACTCTAAATCAACATCATATGATTCTTTATCCATATACTTATTATTTAAAATATAATCTCTTAAAAATTTCTCGTTTGAATCTAAATTGGGATTCAACCAAAAATTGCGTAATGGTTTAAGAATTTCTTTGTCCTTAATATCTATGTTTACTTCTTGACCTTTCAACCACTCTTTATATGATTCTTCTTCCTAAATAAAACAATAATAG